TGCAGTTCAATTGGCTTTCCAGGCTGGCGCATTAACCCACAGCGCCACACCAGGACAAATTAGTAATTCTATGCCAATTCCCTCCTATCCAGTTTTTTGGTTTGCTCCACTCTTTTTTTCGCTTTATATTGTTAACAATATATGTGTACACTCTAATAACTGTCAAGCTTAAATGCGGAAAAGTAGAAAATTTAAATGACAGTTATCAGAAGTTGCAAGATGTATCTCTACAGAATATTCCTGTGATAAAGATTTTGGTATAAAACGGAAGGAAAAAACTAAAAAAAAAAATACTCAGTGGAAATGGTTTGTTCTGAGATAGCCTGTAACAGATATATCCTACAAATAATAAAGTCAGGTTGTAACTGTTTATTTTAATTTCTTCATTATTGGTATTATGGATCTATTTTTTTAATATGTCATTTTTAAAGAATTATGCATGGCCCATTATTTTCATTATACTTTTAAATTAATTTCTTCATCATCTATAGGTTTACTTTGACTTGGTTCTGTGAATTGACATTAACATACTTTCATCCTACACCCTATAAATATGAACATAAAGCATACTAAGTTTGCAGCCTCAGAGGAACACTTTACAACAGGATTTTCTAGGTAAACGTCCTAGGTATTCGAAAAAGACCTTGGAACGCAATCCTGTGCTGGTCTGGTAGTTCAGGGTAAGTACCAGACTGCTAGCCACAAAGGTGGCGGCTCAAACCTACCAGCTGCTTGGTGAGAACCCTCTTCTGGGTCACTTGGAGGCGGAACTGACTTGAGGGCACTTCATAACAACAACTACTTGGGAAAGTCATTTAGCATTTCTGAGTTTACTTCCTTATTTAAAGAATGACAATCAGAGTGAGGAAGTAATGATAAAATATACAATAAAAATCTGACACAGAGCTGGCACAGAAGGTGCTTATTAAATATTAGGTTATTTTCTTAACTAATATTCTTAGAAAACACAATGTGGGATTATTTTCAGGCATAATAAAACTTTTCACAAAAAAACCAGCTTCTAAAGCAGACAGACAGACACAAACACATAAAAGTTAAAAAGGAAAAAAGGGTGGTCATTAGAAATACTCGTATCCTTTCATCAACTATATAACATGGAAATATAAACATGTCAGCTTGTAACTATTCTACACCACAAGAATGCAACCACAGTGTGCATCTCAGCACCTTACGTAATTCAGATGAAAAGGTTACAGCTAGCTGACAGGATTTCCACCTTGGCTTGTTAAAAAAGCACATACAAGTTTCACACTTAGGAAACTGTATCTTCCTTTATAATTAAGAGTTTGTTACATTTGGTATGCCTAGAGCCAGGGCACTTGTAGAGAATGAAAGGTGACGCTATTTAATAATTACAGTGGAAAAACAGGCATCATTCAGGGGTATCCCAGGCTAACCAGGACATACGATCATTCCAACTGCAGTATCCAATGCTTCTTGGAATAAGTTAAACAAGTACTTTAGCAACTGCTGCTACTGCTGTTGTTTCGTGCTGTGGAGTCGGTTTCCATTCATAGCGACCCTATATAGGGTTTCTGAAGCTGAAAATCTATACCGAGCTGAGAGACTCACCTTTTCCCAGTCTTTAGCAATCAGACATGACTTTTTTAGAAAAGAAACAAAAATTGTCTTTTATGAGTGGATTCTGACTCAGGGCCACACAGGTGTGTCAGACTGGGCCTGTGCTGCATAACTTGGTTCTTAAAGCAGATCACTACACCTTTCTTCCCATAAGCAGGTCAACGTTTGGTTGGTTAAACTACTTGAACCAATCTGTGGGGCTCCAATTAAATAATACAGAGTAATTATCTAAAGTAGGAAATGGAAGTAAAATGGGAAGAGCTGTTAAATTAGAACTTCTAGATCAGATTATTTACCTGTTAGGAGACTTTAGACAAAATCAATTAACCTGAGGCTCAATTTTTACATCTACAAAATGAAAAAATTAACACTTGCACTACTAATTTTAAAGGGTTATGAATATCAAAGCACAGATATATAAAATATACATGTTTTGAACCCAGAAATTTCACTTCTGTTAAGTTAATTCTGAACAAAGAGATAGGCCAGAATACTTACTCCAGTATTATTTGTAAACTTGGATATAGCCCAAATGTTGAAGAAATTATCAACCATATTATCTGTAAGATTTAATACTCATTAGCAATTAAAAAGAATGAGAGGGTTTCAGAAAGATGCCAATATTGCTAAGTAAAAGAAGCAAATTGTATACAATAGCCAGGATTTTAAATAAATGTTAATATGAGTAGAAAAACAGTTCTAAATACATGATAAAATCACTCCCGACCTGGTGTGGCACTGCACGTTAATGTGCTGGACTGTAAGGTCGCTTTGAACAGCAAGGTTGGTGGTTCAAGCTCACCAGCTGCTCCTCGGAAACCCTATACAGGAGTTGCTGTAAGTAGAAACTGATTCAACAGCACTTAACAACAACATAGTAATTATCAATCAATTTGTTGGGATAAAATATCTATATTTTGCAATATAAACAACAGTTTACTTACTGCCTGTATTCATTTTGTACTTATTTGGCTTTAAAGCTAATAAATTGATGATGACACAAGCAGAATCTTCACGTCACTGAGAATTATACAAACACATGATAAAATGTTCCTTTTGGAAAAACAGACGAGGGCTCACAGAAATCATATGCTTCTGCTGGAAGGTATCGAAAATAACTTTCGCCTGCCATGCAAATGCCACTTAATTATTTGTGTTACGTAGAATCTAATAGTGAAAGGCTTCAACGTCACACTATAGTCCTGCTTATTAATGTCAGCCACCAAAATGGTGCATGACAACCAAGAGTCTGGCATCACCGATCTACCCAAACATTGCTCAGACTGTTGTATTCGGACTAGAAGGCAGTGTTAGGAAATGTACCAATAGCTTTATAAGCATTCCTTTTTAATCCTTGAACCTTACAGGGATTTTACACGTAAAAACTCTACAGCTAACCAAAGGTGATTTGAGCAAGGTAAAGTAATTCTTAGAGTGAAGCCAAATTTGAATTCAAAGCTGTCTAGCTTCAAAGCCACACTCACGATCACTGGCCGGAAATGAAATGTACAGTTTGCGACTCATACTCTCACCCATTCTTTGGTGATTTCATTGGCAATGATCTCTACTGAAGAACCAACTTGTGGACAAAATCACGTGCCATTAAGAAGCTGCATGCTGCAAACTTCATGCCTCTGTAATCAACCACTTCCTGTTAAGTTCTAGAGCAGGAGCAGAGAAGCGCTGTTTCCTCACGGCCTGCTGTTTCTACAGGCACTGATCCTTCAGATCAGTGTGACCAGTGGTCTCCAATCCACAGCTGCTTAGAGCTATCCAAAATCCAGTGTCCATGCGTTCTCAGAGATAGGACCAGGGCTAAAATCAATCCTACTCATATGCCTCAGTCCATCAAGGTCCCTCCTCCAAGTAGCTGAGGTCTCAGCGGCAGCTGGGCTGCTCACCACAGGTCAGCAGTTGGAAATTACTAGCTGCTCCTCAGACAAAGACGAGGCTCTGTGCTTCCATAAAGGTCTCCGGCCTACAGAGAAGGGGTGGGGAACACCCAGCCCAAGCGTCAAATGTTGTTAAGTGCCACAGAGTTGGTTCCGACTCATGGTGACGTTGTATAGGGTTTCCTAGGAGTGGCTGGTGAGTTTGAACTGCCGACCCTATGGTTCAAACCAACCCTGAGGTCCAGTGCTTATCCTGCAGCACCACCAGGATTCCAGCAGGGGTGAGTTCATGAAATGTTTGACCAAACATTACAGGCTAATTTTTAAGTTGATAATTTTGAATGGCTTGCAAACGATGTTTGAAATTTTGGCAAAAAAAGGCTCGCCATCCCCAGTTCTAGAGGGTAACTGTGAGCTGGAAGCGACTCCACAGCACAGAACTGCCATCAGTACTATCAACTGTGCTGACAGGGATCACATGGTAAGGTCCTGGAGAGAGGGGAGACAAACGTGGAACAAAACTCAAAGATAAAAAAGACCAGGCTTACAGTTCAGAAAGAGAATGAAGGAAACCAAGACTATGGCCCTTGGTCAATCTTCTGGTCTCATGCCTCCAATTTCAGTCAAGCAGCAGACAGATGTACAGGGTAGACAACAACACTACTGAGGTACGCACGTCACAGAATGGTCAACAGCTCAAGATCACAAGGATAGCATTTCCCTAAGCACAACACTCAGAACCATTGAAAGAAAGAAGAGGAGGAACAGGAATTCCGAGGAAGAAGTGGGATACATGGAATTACACTGAGGGGACTACAGTCACTGAAAGCAAAGGAAACGTATGATTTGGTGACACTGATGATCTGTTCTATAAACCATCATATAATACACAAAAGGTACAAAAAAAACTTGTATCCTTTAAAAAATTATTTTCTCAATAAGAATGTGAGTAAATGACATGTTTCCCAAAGTGAATGGTTACCAACTGTTCTTCCTTAATAATGAACATACCTGACCTACGAGTCCAAATGAACGGTCTAAGCTCCTCTGGTCAATGTATTTTCTGATTTTGTTATGTAGCCATCCCAACTCAGCAAGTCTCATTGTTGTGTCTCGCAAAGATTTGTTTAGGTTTGCCTACAAAGTAAACGTGTCCAAGGTTAAATAGAAATTCAATCTCAACCCGAGTTTTCACCAGTTGCACTTTTAATAATTCTTAGTTTGAGATGTGAACATTAAAACATACCATCATTAACAGTGAGAACAATGAGAAGGGAAGCAATCACACATCAGCTGCCTAGCAAGGATGTAAAAAGGTCTTCCGTAAGCATTAATACTTCTGTAAGGTCACTCACTGGAGAGTGAGTCACCCAAGTGCTGCAATTGTTCCTCACTATGGTGCAGTCTGGGAATCTGTGACTGTGTTTTAAAATAAGCTCAGAGTCATAACAGAGCCCTACATAAAAATAAGAAGAAGCTGTGGGAAGTTTCTTCATTTTTGTTTCTGAAAATAAAACCAAAGATATCTTATCTGACACTCTATATCAATGGCTAAGATACCAAGCTATCAGATACCTCTAATGTATGCAAAATAATCTAAATAGAGTATAGGCATCAGTGAATACAAGGATAAAAAGAAACAGAAAGGAAATGGGGCTTGATGATGGCTAGGGTGGAGGAGCAGTGAAGTTCACCGTCAGCCATACCACAGAGTACCAGGCAAAGCAGATCCAGGGCACAGCTCCAAAACTCGGAACCACAGAGATAGGAATATTTTAAAGGTTTGAAGGCTTATAGCTTGTTGAGTTTGGAGCTGAAGAAAAAAATCGCGTACTTTTAAATCTACCGGGCTTTGAGGCCCAGAGAAGACATCTTGGGCGAGACCAAATGGCAAGGCCAAGCAGGGGAGCAGACACATCACAGAAAAATGCCGTGGGAACCTGGGAGAACAAAGGTGGACAATACACTTTGTCAGTTTTGCTTTGTTCTGATTTTCTTTTTTTATTGGGTATCTGGTCATTGTCCCCGCCCCCTGACTGTGCCTCCATTCTGGTGACTGCAAGGGGTGCCTGAGCGAGTGGACAACCCCCACCCTCACCACTGGTGGGTTCCTCCGCCACGCATGCGCACAGATACTCAGCCGAAGAGCAGGCCCTGAACATTGCTTTTCTTTAAAGAAGGGAAAGGGCAGGACAGGGCTGTAGAGAGGGAAAGAGAGTTTAAAAACAAAACAGGCCGAAAATTAAATTAAAGCCTGAGGTATAGCATAACAACCAACACTGGCATCTTGAAATCTCTCAGGCAGCTGTGAAACCAAGAAGCTGAAGAGAGGGCATTAAAGTCATACACATATTAGGCTATAGATTTTTCTTTTCCCTTCTCTTCCTCTTCTTCCTTTTCTGTGAGTACAGACTGCAATATTCAGTCTAGTTTTTGTTGTTGTTGTTGTTGTTTTTAACCGTTGGTGCTGTTTTGCTGTTTTATGCTCCCCCTTCTACCTTTGGGGGACTCTTTCTCTCCCTTTGCTACCCAAGAACAGTCATCAACTACTGCCATATAGTTAAGCTACAATCACACTCTATAATAAACACAAACACCCAGGCAAGAACCAATACCAACTGCCAAATACCAGGGAAGCAGACAACACCTGAGAAAGTTACTCTAAGTTAAGCAATAAGAACACTGAAAATGGAAGTCCACATCCAGATCACATCTACCTGGAAGCAATCAGAAAGCATAAAAAATAGCAAAAAACATACTCAATTAAGTGTTAAGGTCACAGATAAACACTAAACATGTCCAAGAACAGAAGATGACCATAACAGCACATGTCCAGAACCAAGATAAAAATGTCTGATACAAATGACCTAGAGGTAGACCTGGACTACATTCTGGAAGGAGGGCAGGCCTTGGAAATGCCTGAGAAGGAACTCAGAAAAATGACTATAAAATGTTTCAAAACACTTTACAATGGAGTTGAGAAAAATA